GCCAAGGAGCGTTTCAGACATTTCATCAATATTTCATATTTGTAATATGAGACCAGGTCTTTATTTGCTATTTTTCTAATTGAGGGTTCCAAATCATAATTTTACATATTGAGAGGTCTTTATTTCTCATTTTTCCTAGCAAAAACCCTCGATATGGAAACGTTGATGAGGGAGTGGTGTCAGTATCAACGAACCTAATTATAATAGTAGTATAATTTTTATGATTTTTATCATAAAAACTTGTTTTATAAGTCACTTAAAATAAGTGTTCATCAATATCATTATACTACTCCTTCGGTCCTTAATATAAGACTCAATTATTGAGTTGGTTTTAGTCCTAAATATAAGATCCATTTCTCATATTTATCAATTTTTTCTAAATTACTCCTATGGATACTCTCTTAACCATAATCAAGTAGAAGAAGAATGTGGGTATTAAGAAAGATAACTACTCCTCCGGTCCTTATTATAAGACCCAATTTGACTTTTTATTTGGTCCTAATTATAAGACCCAATCCATTTTGTCTCTTATATTTATGTATTTTTTCCACGATAATCCTTCTAATAATGATAGTTTTAGCCAATATACTTAATTAGCAAGGATATTTTAGGAATGACAACACTTATTTGTTATAAATAACCAACTTAACTTACTTCCTTAATCTCCTCAAATAAGTCAATTGGGTCTTATAATTAGGACCAGAGGAGTATCATGTTTTAGGAAAAACATGTCACATTTCTTATAATTAACCAACTTACCTAACTTTCTTAATCTAATCAAATTAGTTAAATAGGTCTTATATTAAGGATCAAAAGAGTACTATAATATAAATTTGTAGGAAGATAATCCTCAATGACGTAGCTCATTTCTCACATACTCCCTAAAAACCGCAACTCTAATTAAACAGCTAGTTTTACTTGTGTGTGATGTCAATTATGAAGATATGGTCCCAAGTTAAGAAATATTATCAGAAGAAAATGAAAATAATGAATTATATTTTACGCAAAATAAAATTAAAATGGTCCTAAGTCATCAAAGTATCTTGCCCAGGAAGAGATCATGGACAGCGTGAAACAAAAGTAACATTGCATGCCTACTTGGTCCTTGTTCTCAGGTCTCGTTTCTCTAGAAGTGCCATCTAAATATACTACCTCTGATTCTTAATATAAGATTCTGTTTAATTTTTATTTTGGTCATAAATATAAGACCTCAATTCACTGTCTCTCATATTTATACGTTTTTTTCAAAGTAGCCTTTTTAACAATGATAGTTCTAGTCAATACACTTGATTACCAAAGATATTTTAAGAAAGACAACACCTATTTAGGACAAATAACTAACCCAACTTACTTTGTTAATCTATTCAAATTAGTTAAATGGCTCTTATAATTAGAACCGGAGGTGGTATTACATTACCTCCAATACTTAATATAAAAGTTAGTTAACTAATTTAAATAGATTAAGAAAATTAGCTAAGTTAGTGTGTAACAAATAGGTGGTATCTTTTCTAAAATGTCCTTACTAATCAAGGGTATTAGCTAAAACTACCAATTAATGAAACTTTTAACATGTGTAACTATCATAAGGATTATCTTAAAAAAATGAATAACTATGATAAACATAGTGGATTAGAGTCTTCTGTTTAGGATAAAATAGAAAGTCAAATTAACTCTCATATTAAAAACCAGAGTAGTATATAGGAATTAAATAACTAATTTATAAAAATAAAAAATTAATTAAACTATTTATTTGTAAAGAAGAATGAGTTGATTTTTTAAAACTTTCATTTTAATATTTTACTGCATCAAAATTATCTTTCTTGATTGAAACATTTTTTAATATGTATAATTAATATTTACATTAGCTGGTTTCTTATAGCGTAGTGAATCAATATTCAAATTTCTGTTAAAAGAGATGTTCATATTTAGTGCCCAGAAGTGTTTCGAATAGAATTATCTCTAATAGAAGGATACTTGTACTTAGCAAAATAAAAATAAAAAAAAAGTATATGAGGGTAAAGTCAACAAACTTAGAATTAATGAAAACAAATTTGTTAATAAATAGGAAGCACTTGTTTGGGGCCAGGCAAGACCAAAAACCGACAAACACTAACTACGTTCCATCTTGTGAGCTCTCCTTAATTTGACGAATGGTCTTGTTCAGTCCGTGTGTGTGGCCAGTTTCATGGAGCCACCACGTTCCCGTGAAGAATGGAGGGAAGGGAAATAACATTTAAAGGACTAAAATGCCCCTGGAGGTGGATGATCTCATGGGCTCCGTGAGCCCCCGCTCTCCCAGCTCGCGGTGGTCTCTCTCACCTTCTCTTATCTGAATTCACACCCCACCACCGCCCCAGCCTTCTCCCCATCGATATTTCCCCAATTGCTATCACAACGAAGGGATAATCAAATTATAAGTATGTATTTTTTCTCGCATCATATGGATTTCGGGGAAATAATTGTGCTGCTTACTAATTATAGATTTGGCATTACACGGTGCTTGATTGGTCTACTGATCTACTACCTTTGGTCTTTAATATAAGATTTAGGGAGTATTTGAATAGAAACCAAACCATGATTTCAGAAGTGTTTTTACGGTTTACGAAGCAAATATGTGGAGGAGTTTGTCTCGTTTTGTGGAAAAGTGCTTCTGAAACCATAGTTTGGAGGTTGCCAAACACCCCTTATTTATAATTTAAATTGAACTATAAATTAGATTTTATATTAAGGACAAAAATAATTTTTTTTTGCTAAGTCAGGTATTCTTCTTTGAGACACTGTGAAATACTAAACGTAAGCACTTGTTGTCGTGTTGGTGTATCACGTAAAATGGACTTGGAGCCTTTCATTTCTTGTGATTTAGGGCAATCAGATTCGGTTAGCTGTGCCACTGGATATAGACTCATGATTGGGCCAAGCCCAATGAATTTCTATTGTTATTTTTCCTATGCGGGCTTTAAGAAAACGAATATGGAATTTAACCAAAATAGCTTGGCACGCATTTGCCTGTGATCAATTATTCTGTTACTATCAACAAGGATTAGATTTAACAGAAAGGGTTAATCCCTCACAACGTGACAAAGTAAGATTTGAATCTCTACTGAGAGAGGTGCTCATATTTGGTACCCGACAGTGTCTCGAACACGATTGCTCCTAATAGGAGGATACCTATGCTTTAGGAAGAAAAAAATATTATTACTGTTTACATCTTGTAAAATGTGCAATTTTCTAAACTTTTATATCTTATATTGATATTGCTATGTGTTTGTGTTTTTTTGTTTTTCACTTGAAAGCGTGTTAGAAGAATTAATTCTTAATATGTATGATAAATCTGACTTCTCAATTAAACAGTGAGTCTCGGGTCCTCCACGATTTTTCCGGATGTAAGTGCTCAAAAACATTTTTAAAAAATGAAAGACGAAAAGAAAATGAGACAGAGAAATGGAAGATTCATGAGTTGGGAATAAACATGGTGTAGCTAATATTATGACAAAATTAAAAAAAAAAAAGAATTAACGTGTAAACTTGAAGAAGAATACTAAAACAATGCAGGTTCCATGTTCTTCACTTTCCAAGCTTTGGTCCTTAGGCTACAATTTTCCCCAGAACTTCCTTCACTTTTTTCCACTTGCTGACATGCATATATGTTTCTGTTGCCACTTTTGTTGAAAGTATCTTCTCTCAATTCCTTGAAGGCTTCGTTCCAAGATGCCCAAACAACATGTTTTTTTCGATTTCGAAAGGGAAATACTCCATCCAGTTCTAACAACTTTACATAAATTAATAAATTTAGTTAAAATTAGTTAATACATTTAAATTTTAAAATTAATCTCAATGAAGTTTATCAAGTAAATAAGATTTGTTTAGCCAGTTATAAGATTGAATAGTTAATTAAGAAATATCAGGGCAAAGATATTTAGAAAAGAAGTTAAAGGTTTAAACAAGTGCTTTTTGTTCATAAATACATTTTTATGACATAAGACATGGGTAAAATTCTTAAAGTACTTGAGATGGGACCTGCTAATTAAGAATATATGCTTAAATTAAAATTTGTGCCATCAAAGTTCTTCCTTTTTCTTCATTCTCTCCTTGTCCAACTCACAACTTTTTGTCTTTATATATTATTCCTTTAGTTTTAACTGGCATTGTGTGGGAAACAGATTGAGCCAAACAAAACAAGGTGCAAATAACTGTTGGTTTCCCCAACTTACAAGCATACAATAATCTCATATATATATTCTCATATGGCATCATGTTTGGTTGTGACTTGAAGGCTAAGGCTGTGACTTTTTCAATTGGGACAAGCCTTTTGCCATTCGTAGAAGGATTTACTTATATCACCCAAAGAATATGTGCCACAAACACAAACTCATATTACCTCACTTCACAGCCATCTCTTCCCCCTCTGAAAACGATATTGGAACCATTCATTGCCTAACTTATTTGAAATTTAATTATATATTTGCCCATATATGTAACCAAATATTATATACTCTATATATATATTATATGTATATATATGGCCAGATAAATATACATGCTTCATCCACTCCTATTTTGAAACGTACACGTCTTTTCTTTACTCGCCGTCGACGTAATTTGCTCTAACGTTATTCTTTACAAATGATCAGCAAGATAAAATAATTAATGTGATCACAATCTCACACCAACGTTTTTCCACTGTATATACACTAAAAAACAAAAGTACATTATTGTTTTTAAGATTTAAAGACACTATATGTATAACTTTAATTTAAACTTTCAATATTGAAAAATTAATCCTTAACGTTCATACTCCTCCCAAGTCACTACTCCCCCCCCCCCCTTTTGGGTTCCTCTTTTAATGATGAAGTTCAGTTACCTATCGATTGATAAGTCATGATATATATTTGAGTTGAAGTCGTCAAAATATTTTTCAAAAAAAAAAAAAAAAGGATCCAGTGCTTGTTGGCTTGATATTAATTAACCCGTTGGGTCCGCAATTTAGGATGATACAGTTGGTTCTAGGCGGAAGAACTCAAACAGAAAATATGTGAGCTCTCTCTTCCTTTTTCAATATATTCTGGTCAGGCGGCAAGGCTCAACGATATTACTTGTGACTAAATTTAACTCCGTAGAATCGGAAAACATAACATTCTTCCTTCAACTGCGTGTATATATAAGTATGCACGAGAGCATAATCATGGGGTTGCAGTCAAATCCAAAGAAGTTGAAGAGAGATCAAGGGATAAGGCAAAGATCACCATCATAGATAATCATGAAGAAAGAGACCTCTGGTTCTCTGGGGGGGTATATAAAGCATGCGATAGCGTCCTGGTTCCTGGGCTGTATGGGGATGAACAACAAGAAGGAAGAGAAGATGGACTATAATAATAAGACGGCGAAAAGATGGAGACAGCTCAGCGGTGAAACTCACTGGAAAGGCATCCTCGACCCTCTCGACCTAGACCTGCGCAGATGCATTATCCACTACGGCGAAATGGCACAAGCCGCATACGACACTTTCAACACGGAGAAGAAATCGAAGTTCGCCGGAAGCAGCCGGTACGCCAAAAGCGACTTGTTCGCAAGGGTGGGTTTGGAGAAGGGGGATGGCCATCCCGTCAAGTATTGCATCACCAAGTATCTGTACGCGACGTCGGAGATCGACGTGCCGGAGGCGTTCATAGTGAAGTCGTGGTCGAGGGAGGCGTGGAGCAAGGAGTCGAACTGGATAGGGTTTGTGGCGGTGGCGACGGACGAGGGGAAGGCGGCGATGGGACGGAGGGACATAGTGGTGGGTTGGAGAGGGACGGTGCAGACGTTGGAGTGGGTTAATGATTTTGAGTTCATTTTGGTGTCTGCTTCAAAAGTGTTTCAAAGGGACACTGATCCCTTGTTACACCAAGGTTGGTACTCTATTTACACATCCGAAGACCCTCGTTCTCCCTTCAATAAGACCAGTGCCAGAAACCAGGTATGTATACATATATAGATATATGTTTCCTTAATTCTGGGGCACTTATGTGACAATATAATCATGACTAAACCTTTTTGTTTTTGCCTTGTTAATTATATTGAATTCTCCCTCTTTTAACCATACGGCAGCCAGCAGTATACACTGCTTTTCTCAATTCAGAAAAGAAATCTGTTTTCGTGGGTGTTTGTGGGTTTGTAATTGTGTGGGGTTAACTCATCCTGAATCAATAAATATTCAATGCACCAGTATGAATTAATCTGTTACAGTATATTTCTCAATATTTAAAATCATCTCAGATCTAATGTCTTAGGTTTATGAATTGTTATATCTCCCATCCTTTTCTACCCTTTAACCGGCATCTTTATATAAATACACGTTACGTACGTTCATCAGGTTCTGAGCGAGATCAGAAGATTGGTGGAGTTATACAAGTACGAAGAAATAAGTATAACTATAACAGGGCACAGCTTAGGAGCAGCACTGGCGACACTGAGCGCAGCGGATATAGTTGCAAATGGCTTTAACGCACCCAGAGATCAACCTTCAAATTCATGTCTAGTCACGGTCTTCGCATTTGCTAGTCCTCGTGTGGGAGACCTAAACTTCCAGAAGCTTTTCTCAAAGTACAAGGATCTTCGAGTCCTACGCATTCGAAATGAACTAGACATCGTTCCAAACTACCCTCTGATAGGCTATTTTGACGTTGGGGAAGAACTGAAGATCGATACGAGAAAATCAAAGTACTTGAAGACCCCTGGGAATGCATCGAGCTGGCATAACTTGGAAGCTTATTTGCATGGGGTGGCGGGAACGCAAGGAAGCCAGGGAGGGTTCAGGTTGGAGGTGAATCGTGATATTGCGCTCGTGAACAAATCTTCGGATGCTTTGAAAGAGTTTCTTGTTCCTGCGGCCTGGAGAATTGAGAAGAACAAGGGTATGGTACAACAGCTTGATGGATCTTGGAAGTTGATGGATCATGAGGAGGATGACTTTTGATGAATATCTGAGATGGATCATCATCACAAAGCTGGAAAAATAAAAAACTCAGCACACTATGGATCAGATTCTTTCTTTCTTTTCTAAGCCTTCCATTATTCTGTTTTACCCTTCGCGGCTAAAATAATTTCACCCATATGTTTCTGCATAAGCTTCAGCTACACCATATCAGTGTAAGAAATGATCTTGAAAGATATCGATTACTTGTCTCGTTGGTTTCCTAATCTATTTATAAGTGGGGGTCACGTGTGTATGCAGAAAAAGTGGTTCCTTTGGATATTTTTAGAAATTATTCGTTCTTACCAAGACAAGAAGAAGAAATTGTGGGATAGTACTAACACTCTTCGTTAATTCATCCCATATAGTGCAAGATTCTAGGTGAAAGGTGCAAGTAATTGTCCAAAGCAACAATCAAGAAAGGAAAGATCCCTGACTTCTTACGAAATCAAACTGAACCATCTCTTTATATACATTATCAAATTTACTCTCATAATTACGTTCCCATCTCTGCGTTCTTTCTCACCTTATACCACTGTTTTTCGATACTAAGAAAAATACACGAGAAGTGCACCAAATCTATTTCAGGCTCATGACAGGGATGTTAACATAACATTTTCTCTTAGACTTCAAATAAATTTACCTCTTTTAAATAAAGTCGGTGCATAGAAAATTAAATAAATAAAGTATATAGTAACACAGAGCACACAAAAACATTAGAGATGAATCATATCCAAATAAAAAACTTCAATTATGTTTGATCAGTTTATTCTAATAATTAAATATGAAAAAATCAATCATAAGTTGTTCTTATAACTGTTTGTTAAAAGAAATATTTAATGTCATCTCTTTATTTCCGCTTAGCAAAAGTGAAAGTCTCTGCAATTTGCAAATATTGCAGTAGTTTGTCTTTAATTTAATGACAAACAATGATTTTAAAAGTATAAATTAAAAAACCTGCTTCAATGATCATGTGTATGTAGCATAACGTGATTAACTTAAAAGGTGTTTAGATGAAAACTAAACTATAATTTTAAAAGTACTTTTATAAGTATGTAAGAGGAATTTATCTCAATATATATAAAAACACTTCGTAAAAATGTTTTTTAGGTGACAAACTGCAACAATCATGTGAATCAGCATCCAATAGGTTGACATTGAAAATACATCATTTTAGCACCCCACCATCTTCATTTCGCAGCGTGGTTTCTAAATTCTCCGGAGGTCACATATTGTGAAGTACAAGAAGTACTAAGCCCGGGAATAGTGTATGTTCCATCCAATAAACCCTTGGTGATCCATCTATAAGCAGCCTCAGTCAAATGCAAGCCATCCCAGCTCACATATTTTGAAGGATCATCACTAGATACCACTCCTGAGTAGCTGCACAGTGCTGATTCATTGTAATTGTAGGGACCTCCACCTCCACAGCAAACTTTCAGAACATTGTTTTTGCCAAATCCTGAAATAGCAGGAAGCAAATCTGTATCAATCTTCCCACACTAAACCCAGAAACCAATGTTGAGATGCCTATGAGAAGTTGAGAGTAAAGGAGTACCAAATTGTTCTGGAGAACGGTAAAACTGAAGCGCAGCGTTGAAATAATCGGCATAGATGATTTTCGTGTGAGGATACAACACTTGAAGATCATTGAGCTCAGTTTTAAGCATCTTATTGTGGTATTCAAAAAACGCGTTTAGCCATTTTAAGCAGCCGGCTTTGTCATACTCGTCCTCGTCTTTAAATGCAAACCTAGTTAAATAGGCTGGATTGCATCCCAGTGGTAGATTTCCAGGAATCATTAGTGTAACAGCCCCTGCGTTAATCAACTCCTGCGATGATAAACCAAACAGCCAATTGTAAGTATATGACTTGAATCAGCATAAAGAAGAGAAAGGAAATGTGTCGGATTCTCCAGAGACTGTGAAGTAGTCTCATTCAGAATAAGAGTAACATAACACTTTGCCTAGGATTATATTAAGAGCTTTCTGTGATGCAAACCTCCTATCTAAGAAAGCAAAATCAGGTTAGCGAGTGATGACAGGGAGATCATTTTTCATTTAAGATTTTCCCCCACTGTTCCTCCAAGTAGTGAAAAAACACGCTGTCCGTTGGCATTTGGCAACTTCCATTCTATCATCAGAATCGACATCAAACTTGAGACTGCACTGGAATAGGCAATACGAAAGTAAGAATCCTTACCCTGGTTGCTGAAGTGATTGCAGAGACTACTTGTGGTACGTAAGTTTTAAGCTCCTCCAAGCTCCCTGGTTGAGATAAGGGATAACCATAATCATTGCCTCCAATCTCTCCCACAATAAATAAGGCGTTGCCAAGAACCTCTTTGCAGCCTGCAAAACTAAAATCTCATACACTGCTTGAAATAGAAATAAGAATCAAATTACATGAGAAAGAAAGACCTCCTAACATGCAGAAAATGTACCTACTCCCTCTGTTCCCTGTGAACCTTCTTTTCCCCCTCCCAAAAAAAAAAAAAAAAAAAGCTGACAATTAAGACTACATAAATCTCCTCTTTTTTTTTGGTAGAACAGGATGGCCAAAACCCCAAAAAACTAAAAACAGCTACCAGCAAGACACCATTTTCAGAGATGTAGCTCCAATAGTGTCACCATATATTAACCAGTCCATCTCCTTGTGGCGGCAGCCCATCATGTGAAAACCATGTTCTTGAAATAGACTATAATATATTTATTGCGTCAGTCTTTTTGATTTTTGCAGTTTAATTAGCTACCTAAATTTTTATCTGATTTCGTTGAAATAGCATTCGGGCCCCAGACACAAGTCCCAGATAAACCCCTATGAAAATCCCTTCATGTTCTTCTGGCCTCGTTGAACATTCAACTACAGCCATGGGTCTGTGCTCTCTAATCGAATCACTAATCCCAATACTATCGGGTAAACCATGAACTGAAACAATTTAGTCAGCGAGGTGAAGATAATCTGGTGAACAGATCAACTTATTTGGTTTTGGTTGGTTAATTGGGTTGGGCATAAGATTCAAAACTTAAGACAAGTAATTAATTAACAGTAAAAACGAATTACTTGAAGGGGAATTGCAGAGAGAAGGCAGAAATTCCTTGAACCAATCTAACTGAACCCTCAGAGAATAGTAGGCAGCTCCTTCGACATCAAAACCCTTCTCTTCAAAGAACAAGCCGTCCAACGCAGTGGCTCCCGCAACCGCAAAATTAACCCCATGCTGTGTATTCCAATCCTTCACATCCCCGTTTTTTATACCTAGATACGGTTTAACCAGTGGAAGATGCAGAGATTCGGCTGCCCAAACCCAAAATCAAGAGCAGTGATATTAATTAGTTAGAGTAGAAAAATAAATGACAGGAAAACACATGATTTTACGTTGAATTAATCGTTTGGTACCAATGAAATCGAGGATTAGGCGGCCATCCGAGCATCGTCCGTTGGGGCGATGAAAATAGGTTGATCCGTAGGGAGGACGCAAGCAATCAGGACGCTGTGACGAGGAAGTGAATTGCAAGTTTCCAGTATCAGTGAGGGCATCGCCGAAGCTGAAGATTGACGTGTAGCATCCGAATACAGCGGGGGGGATGGTAAATGATACAGCCACAAGTAGGGATAGCCACTGTGCTTGCAGCGACCAAACTTGAGAAGACGGGGCACCGATCATTGTTAATACGTTTATCTCATTATCTCGATAGTGTGTTTCGTTCTTTTTTAAAACGTCCTCCAATCCCCACTCCAAGCCAACCAACTCGTGGTATTCGTGGAATTTGCTATGATGTGACCTAAGAAGATCAACTGTTCATTGTTCTAATTCCCCTCGCAACAAACGAGTTTCACATTTGATCCTGCTTTCAACTAGACATCCTTCAGAAATAATTTATCGGATAAAATTTCCACATAAAATTTCTCTTTACTAAGCCAAACTCCCTTAACATGTATCAAATATTATTCTTACAATCAAGAAGGTACCTAAGGGACAAGTCGGAGGCCTCAGAAATAACAAGCAATCTTTGTTGTCTTATTTCTCAAATCTGGTATATTTCTTCTGTAAAAGTTCCCCAGCGGGGAATCACTGAAGCACAATGCAGATTAATGTACACAGAAATTCTATTGGGGATTTGGAGGACGGCTGTTAGCAGCAGCAACGTGTGATCCCCATTCCAGCAACTCTTTGCTGGTGTCATCCTTGTGAAAAAAAACTTCTATAAAACAGAGAGAATCTTTCTTTGGTCCCATAGCTGCCGCAATTGCTTCTGTCAGATCATCCTCTGTACGTACCTACAATACAGCAACACCGTCCATCAGTGACACGACCAAACAACTTTATAGAATAGAAGGGCATTCTGAGGCATTCAAAGACGCTATGAGGCATCAGTAACAACATCATAGGCTAAATGAAGCAGGTATTGCTTTTCATCCCATTTTGCTTCATTTTATTTTGGTGAACATGCTTTGTGTAAGCGTTTTTAAAGTGCAAAGTTTATTCAAAATATTTAAGGCCCGTGAACAGTTTCATAATATCCAACGCACCTAGTGGCATATAGAGTGAAAAAATCAGAAGGCAGAAAATAAAGATTAACAGTTCCATTCATACTAACCTTTGCAGTCCAGCATTTGCCTTCTCCATTATGGATAGCATCAACAAGGCCGGTGTAGTCCCAATTCTTAACCACATTGTATGGGCCATCATGAATCTCAACTTCAATAGTATAACCTCCATTGTTGATGAGGAATATGATGTTCCTTTGTCCACAGCGTATCATTGTTGAAATATCCTGCGCTGTCACCTATAGAGACATCCCACCAAATTGTTCATATTTATGACCGTTATTAACTATAGCAATACTTTCTATTTTGTGAGAATGCTGTATTATCTGAGCTTTTCACGTATTAATGATTGAGACAAAAATCATTATCAGGATATCTAGTAGACTGTTTCTATTCTCATAATCTTACTAACCTGAAAACTCCCATCACCAATGCAAGCAATTACACGCTTATCTTTTGCAGCTTGTGCATATCCAAGAGTAGCACCTACTGACCAACCGATAGATCCATATTGCATCTGGAATTCAAAACTGAAAGTTTGGTATTGTTAATTTATGTTAGCCGTAATCAGTGTATTGTTAATTGCAGGGATTTTATAAATCTTACCCACAGTTCTCAGGGAGACGAAGCTTCTGACAGTTGAACCAAGAATCTCCGGTTTCAGCTATGATGGCAGTATCTCCACTCAGCAGGTTCT